AACAGGAAAAAATGACTGAGTATTTCATAGGGTGTGGAGGAGAAAGGAGTCTTTCTGATGTGGTTATACAATTTCTTCCTTTTTCGACACGAGAAAACTGAGGCCCAGAGAAGTAAAGGAAGTCACCGTAGATCCTACAGTGAGTTTGCACGCATGACCCAGGCCAAAGCTCAGTTTCCCTTTTTAGCACTCTGTAATTACATGGGAATTACCTTCGGAGGATGTGTTCCGGGCCCTGGAACCACACGCATCAGCCCCTCCCGCTCCCTGTGCTATAGCTCATTGCTCACCTGCGCGTTGTTCTGTGCTGGCCCGGATATAGTTGGTTCGCCGAGCTGCCCCTGGGCTCCTCAGAGAGCATTAGTCATGAGCTCCTGTCTCAAGGGCACTGATTCATTTCTAGCCATGATTGCATCAGTGTGCATGCGTATCTCTTTGTGAGAGATGTGAGTCCATGTTGCATGTGTGGGAGTTTGCCAGAATTACAACCTTCTGCCCCTTCCTAGCCATGGCTAAAGAATAAAGCAAAGAAGAAAGAGACATCCACTTGGGGGCTTTTTACAGACTAGAGGTCCTGTTTACTTAAAGGTTATAAATGCTGCTGTAGGAAATGTTAAGAATTAAAATCATGATTACATTAGGCATCTGCTTTGCTTTCCGGTGAGCCTAACTAGCATTTGGAATCAGTGAATAAAGTGAAGGCAGCATTTTAACTGTCTCCTTGCAAAAGTGGCTGGGCAAGGATACTCAGGCTTGTAGGAAAGTGCATTGAGATCTCAAGATAAAAGGTTTTACTTGAGGGAAAGGTTATTGTTATTATTTTGAACTTTCAGAGTGGTTTCCTTTTTGCATATTTATGATATTAATATAATCTTAATAGAAGGTTTAATGTGCAAGTTGCTAAGCACATTGTCCAATGGAAAAAAATAAATTATACAACTATCGCAATGATAAGGCAGTTTTCTACTACATTTAGTTATCTCTTTCTTAAACGGAGAGACTTGCAGAAATCTTAAAAGCATACTGGAAAAGTTTCAATAATAAAATAGTTTAATTTTAAGATTTGTGTTTCAGGTAAATACCAAATGATACAGGCCTTTACAAAATATAAAATAAAATATAAAATAAAGTGAGCTTAAAATTTTTCATGATTATTTGATATCTGTTACTGCCGGAGAAACTGGATGTTGAAATGGACGAGACTGAAAACTGAAATAGATATATTCTTCAAAACAGTGTGTGAAAGAAGCAAAGGATATGGAGCTCTTAAGTGAAATAAATCTGAATTAGGCCTAAACCTATTTTAGCACTAGGCTTTGATGTAGTTTTGCACTATACATAACTTAAATGGAAAAGTGTGGGCACCATTCTTCTTAAATAGTTGGAACTGTGGCTTTGGCCCTGTAGATCATGTTTTATCAATTCATACGAAACAGAGATGAGACCCACTGTGTTATTGGATTGAAGTATATTGTATAAGCAGTTTCCTGCTATGTAAGTCAGTTTCTTAACCATGTGAATTGATTCAGCTACATATTTACAATCTCCAGCTTTTGCAAGGTCCTCATGGCAGCCCATATCCTATGCTTCTTTATTCCAAGAGAATGTTAAAAATTTTCACCATTCTCACTCTGAACAACCTTACACTTGGCTCATGATATTACTTTCTAATTCACAGAAAAAAATATAGCCTGTCAGGGAGGAACTCCCTCAATTTCTTCCTTCCCACCCCAGAAACAGTGACAGCCATACCCCTCCTTTCTTCCTTCTTTCCCTTCAAAATCCTCCTGTGTCCAGACTGGCCCCTCCACCTGTGCTTTGGGCTACATCACTCCTACTCCCATCTCTTCAGGAGGTTTGCTCTTTGCATTCAGTGTTCTCAATCACTCTTTTTCTATTGCGTTCTTGTTCTCAGCACAGGAACATACTTAATTCTTTCCCATCTTAAGAATATTTTTATGCATTTTCCTTAAACCAGGGTATCCTAGCTACTATCAAGTCTTCTGTCCACATAGACACAGCATAGTTTATACTTAGTACTTCTACTCCCTTATCTTTCATTTATTACTCAATTTAGTCCCATCTTACTTCTACCCTTACCACTCCCTAGGAAATGCTCTCACCAAGGCCATCCAGCATCTTGTAAATTCTAAGTTCAACAGCCTTTTGTTAGGCTTCAGATGGCTTGACTTTAAGGTAAATGCTTCAATCATCTTTGACTCCTCCCTTTCTCTCACTTCCCACATCTGGTCCCACAGCAAATTGTGTCAGCTTTACTTTGAAAATCTGTCTGGAGTTTAACTACTTCTCACCATCCCACTGCCACCTGGTCCAAGTTACTATCATTCTTGCCTGAATTACTGCAATGGTTTCTTAACTTGTCTCACTGCTTCTGCCCTCACCCTCCTCCACCCTGTTATCAACTCACAACCAAAGTTGAGGGCTTAAATTAGATAATGCTATTTCCTCTCCTAACACCCTCCAATAACTTCCCATCTCAGAGTAAAAGCTATAGTTCTGAGTATAACGCACAGGGTTCTACATGATCCTCCCCTTCTGCCTGTTTTCATCTTCTATTAGTCCTCTACTTCTCCAGAGCCAGGACTAGCTCAAGGCCAGAGAGATGCCTAGGGTGTGAGTTGAAAGAATTAAGAAGGTGCTCACTCTCAGGGGTCAGCTGCACTATCAACACCTTCTAAAAATCGCTCTTCTTGACATTCTCCTTTCTTTGCTTCTGTTGCCTGGTTTTCCTTCAGCAACTTTGACTTTCTCCTTAATTCTACACCTCCCACCCTCATCTAAGAGCATGATATAGTCATGGTTTTGTTAGATTTTTGCAGTGCAGATACAGAGTTAGATTGCTTGGGTTCACCTTTTGCTTCTAGAACCATGTGGCCACAGATAAATTACTTAAACTTTCTAAGCCTCAATTTCCCCATTCGCAAAATTTTAATCATACTGCCTACCCCATAGTATTGTTATGAAATTTAAATAAGTTTAAATTAAATCATGTAAGCATTTAGTGCAATACTAAGCACATAGTAAACGTATAATAAATATTGTAATTAGTAATTATTTTTAGTAGTATTAATATTACTCTTGTACCTGTCCCCTTAAAGCCCAACATCCTCTCTGTTAAGCCATTTGAGTTTTTCCAGAACAACTGCAAAATATGAATTCCTGGTACATAAGTGAGTAATTTTGTCTCTAAAAGGTAGAGAAGAGAATAGCATATTTTACATTTCCTTTTTTTTGTAGGAAAAATGTTACAGATCACACTTTTGTCAAGAAGCCAAAGAACAAAGTTGATTAAAACATTATGCCTGGAAATAAAGGGGAACAGGACATCAGCAAAATTCTTTTTATCAATTCACATGTTGAAGACATGTAAGATCAATAGAACACAAAATGGAAAAGAAATCATAATCATATGTGTGAAGACTAGCAGGTATTTTTTTCCTGTGCACATCAACGGGCTGTATTGTGGCATATACATGAAAGGGTGAAGTGCTTGATGTCTTTAGGTTATATTTTCCTAAAACTCCATGCTACTAGGAGAGAGGATTTTGTTTAATTAACAATTATTTCAGGAGTCATACTGTGAGATGCAGTGTTAGGATGCATACTGGGGAAGCACTAGCTGTGGGTTCAGCAAGGAACTAGAAGATCCTTCTGCCTGGAATACTCTCTCCCCAGATTTTATCATGACCATCTCCTTCTTGCCACTAGGGTGCCCGTTTCCTAATCAGAGTCAGAACTCTCCATCTCATTTCTCTGTTTTTTTCTTTCTCAGACCTTATTGCCCTGAAATTATTTTGTTTACTTTTTGCTTTCTTGTTTACCATCTGTTCCCTTTCTCATTTCCATGAGAAAATGAGACTTCTTTGTCCCTAGAATCTGTAATAGTGCCTGGCTCTTGAAGACATACAGTCAATGCTTGCTGAATGCAGTAGGTCGTACCTGGTTATCAAAGCACTCATAACTTTATTCCCAGAGAATAACTGGTGATTGACAATATGCTTCCTTAACTTGATCGTGTTGAAAGAAATAGTTAAAATTTGTGAATATGACAAAACCACAGCCAGAAGGTTGTGATTTCAAGATACTGTGAAAAAAAAAAATGTGTTTACCCTATAAAGGTCCACAGGATACCAAGCAGAAGGTCTCATACAAGTGTTGAAATGAGGGAAGAAGTGGAATCAGTTTTTTAAAGATTAATGAGATAATACAAACAAGCACCCAGAGAGAACAACGCAGTGCAACTTCATCAAGCTTCCTTGGAGCTTCACCAAGAGTTTATGCACCATAGTACACTCAGGTTTTTAAAAAGTGTTACAATATTTCAGAATCAGTTAAAGGACCCTATAAATTCCTCCCAGAACCCATTTTCTTTCCTCCTCCTTCAGAATTTACCACTATAGCAGAGAGTTAGAGCTCGCTAAAAAATCTAAGTTGGGGTCGTATGAAGTTTCGGCCAGAGAAATATGAATTGAAACCACTTTTGGATCAAGGCATTCAGAGCAAGGGTGGTCACCCCCGTCCTTCTCTGATGTGGTGCATCTTGCAGGCCATGTGCCCCAAATGTCCAGATACAAGTGCCACTTGACTCGTATCACACTCACATCGGATGAGGAATATGTCTTTATAAAGCCAATGGGATTTTGGAATGTGCTTATTGACACTCCATAGCCTATTCTTTCCTGAGTAACATAGACATAACTGCTCATTTGGGTGTTTATTATTTATTGTTTTAATAACATTGCTGCATATATATGATGTACAGATAATATTCAGGTTATTGTAATGTTTTGAAATATGCTGTAAGTGGTATGATACGCTAATATAGTTGTGTAACTCTCCCTCTCAACATGAATTTTTGGGGATATATCCATGTTGATACTTTTAGGCTTAAGTTCATTTAGTAAACATTTATTACAGTTCATTCATTCATTCTCTGTTGATGGACATTTAGGCTGTTTGTTTTTTTCTGTCATAAACAGCCCTGAAATGAATAGTTCATGTCTCCTCCTGCTTGTGGTAGGAGTTCCTGGAGAGTTTATATCTAGAAGAGGAATTGCTGAATTCAAGGGTATGTGCAACTTCAGTTTTACCAGGTATTGTGAAATTGCTTCCTAAAGTTATATCAAAAAAACTTGCCGTTTTTCTTTAATGTCATAATTCCAGCAAACACCATTTCTATGATTTCAAGTAGCTTTTTCAAATTATGTATCCTCAGTGATATACACTCAGTACCTTGAATAGATTGAACCAAGTCCATCAGGGTAAAAAATCCCTACATGGATTTTAACGTTAAAGATGAGCTCTTGGATATTCTTTAGCAGACTAAACTGTGGTGCAACTGGCTTAATTATTGAGGTTTTTACTCTTTTCTAACAGGTAATTGTCTTGGCTTGTTGGAAAAATAACTTAATGGTATATCATTGCACATATTTCAAAACCACATGCAAAAGAGTATGAGAAAATAATAACAAATGCTTTCAAGATGTAAATGCAACCAAAAAGAGGCTTAAGAATTCATTTCCCATTAGCTCTAGTTCAAACATTCAAACCTTCCACTTTTGAGAGTGATATGCTTGTCAATCTAGCATCTGACAGAACACTGATGGCATCTCTCAGCAAGATAACTCTCCAAAGTTATCTTGAACCTGTGATGGTTTGGACTCTACAGAACTATCTGAAAAGCCATCAGTTATCAGCTGCTATTCCCAACAACCTATAATTGTGAGTTGGTTAAGATTTACTTTACTTTACTTTTCTTTTCTTAGACCAGATCTTGCTCTGTCACCCAGGCTAGAGTGCAGTGGTACAATCTAGGCTCACTGCAACCTCTGCCTGCTGGGTTTGAGTGATTTTCGTGCCTCAGCCTCAGAAGTAGCTGGGACCACAGGTGTACACCATCATGCCTGGCTAATTTATGTATTTTTATTAGAAACGGGGTTTTGCCATGTTGGCCAGGCTAGTCTCGAACTCCTGGCCTCAAGTGATCTGTCCACGTTGGCCTCCCCAAGTGCTGGGGTTATAGGTGTGAGCTACCATGCCCTGCCAGGATTTTCTTTCTTTTTTTTCTTTCTTTCTTTCTTTATTTTATTTTATTTTTTTTGAGACAGAGTCTTGCTCTGTCGTCCAGGCTGGAGTGCAATGGCGCTATCTCAGCTCACTGCAACCTCTGCCTGCCAGGTTCAAGTGATTCTCCTGTCTCAGCTACCCAAGTAGCTGGGATTACAGGTGCGTGCCACCATGCCTGGCTAACTTTTGTATTTTTAGTAGAGACAGGGTTTCACCATGTTGGTCAGGCTGGTCTGAAACTCTTGACCTCACGTGATCCGCCTACCTTGGCCTCCCAAAGTGCTGGAATTTCAGACTTGAGTGAGCCACTGTGCCTGGCCAGATTTTCTTAATTGAACAAAAGAGTAGGATGCAAAACTAAACCTATTCTAAAGATGCAAACAATATCATCTCTTTCATGGATATGAAACAATTATTATTACTGCTGTTAATGTAAGGTAATATGTTTAATTTTAGTATTTTGAATATGTTTAATTTTAATATTTTGAATATTTTTGATGAATTTTCTAAGCCTAAATTGGTTTTCTACATGTATGCCAGCATACATATCTTTAAGAATTTAAGAAATTCAACCCAAATGACAGGATCAGTCACAGGGATTGTCAATGCCTATGGCTTCAACTGTCCCTCTTGGGGTCATGCCAACTGAATCAAATCTCTGGACACCTCCAGACTAGATCTCTGTGCTGATCACATTCCTAAATATCCAACATGATACTTGACAGCTTCACCCAGCTACAGCCGACTCTTCAAATTCAGCAAGTCCAAAGTTGATCTCATCATTTTTCACTCCAGTTCATTTTCCTTCTTCAGGCAATGCTTAGATAACAGTATCACCATCTATCTAGTCACTGAACGCAGACATTTTAGGTCACCTTTCTCCTCACATGTCACTTCCTTTTGAAACTATCCCCCTCACTCCATCTACTATCATTGCTGGCTCTGATTCAGGCCTTCATTGTCTTCTGCCTGGACTATCACAGTAGTCTCGTATTTATTATCTCTGTCTCCATTCTGGTCCCTGCCAGTCATCCATATTTCTTCCAAAAAGAAATTTTAATAAATGCAAATGCCATTCACTAATATTGCTTACTATTCTTTCATGGCTACCTGTTTCTTTGCAGGTGAAGGCTTTTTTTTTTTTTTTTAAACCAGGTCTTGCATAATCTGATATTTGCAGACATCTTATTTCCTAACAGTTTTTGGCTGGACAAGAACACAGGATGCATATGAAATGTCTTGTAATTCCCTAAGTCCATCTTACATTCTCAGCTACCTTGCCTTTGCACATGCCTTCCTTCCAACCAGAAGATGGTCTCTTCATCAAGGGCCTGTGCAAATGTCATCTTCTTGGTTGCTCCTTTAGTGCTCTCTGCACACTTCAGTCATCACACATTCACTCCTTCTGCTGGGCTGGGAGAGCTCCTAGAAAGAGGGATTGAAATTGTATTCATGTCCATCATGCAGTTTGTGTGTGGCAGCTCAGACCTGCTACAGATGGGCGGCCAGCAGTCAATGAAGGGGGTGTGGTCAGCTTTCTTCTTCCTTTCTACTCTTACTCTCCCACATTGCTAACCTGACTTTCTGACCCTTCAAGCACTGAAGCCAAGGCAGGGCTTAGAAAATCTTTAATGTATTCTCTTTCTCTTCCGGACTTTTTTTTTTTTTTTTTTTTTTTTTTTTTGCCAGGCTGGAGTGCAGTAGTGTGATCTTGGCTTACTGCAACCTCTGCCTCCTGGATTCAAACAATTCTCCTGCCTCAGCCTCCTGAGTAGCTGGGACTACAGGCACACATCACCACACCTAGGTAATTTTTGTACTTTTAGTAGAGACGGGGTTTTGCCATAATGGCCACGCTGGTCTTGAACTCCTGACCTCAAGTGATCCACCCGCCTCAGCCTCCCAAAGTGCTGGGATTACAGGCATGAGACACTGTGCCTGGCCTCTCTTCTGGACACTTTCATGGCTTCTTTGAAGACATTGCTGATACTCTTGCCTGGATTTCCCTCAACCCAATGAATAGATCTCTATTGTGGTAGTGCACAGGAGCTCTCATCCTCCTCCGATTGCCTGGTCATGATAGAAACCCCAAGCCAGTCTTTTTCCCCTACTCACTCAACCCACATTTGGACAAGTTTGGAAAGCCTGCCCTGCTGCCCTCAGAAAGCCTCACTACGGAATTAATAAAGATTTTTATACCTCGTTGATGTAGGTCTGGTATCTGTCTTGACATCTGAACCAGATTTTCAATGAAGGTCCATTCTGCAGAAGAAGGGGTTTATATAATAACTGGTACGGCAAACAGGATGACCACAATATTTATTGTGTCTGATGTTAGTATAGCCAGTCCATTTCTCTTGTGGTTGCTGTTTGTATATCTGTTTTGTGTATCTTTTTCCATCCTTTCACCTTCAACCTATTTGTATCTTTCAATCTAAAATGTGTCCTTTAAGCAGCATGTAGTCGTACCTTGTCATTTAAAAAATCCAATCAGATATCTCTTTCTTTTGATTGGATTGCTTATTTTATTTATTTATTTATTTTTTTGAGATGGAGTCTGGCTCTGTTGCCCAGGCTGGAGTGCAGTGGCTGGATCTCAGCTCACTGCAAGCTCCGCCTCCCGGGTTCACACCATTCTCCTGCCTCAGCCTCCCAAGTAGCTGGGACTACAGGCGCCCGCCACCTCGCCCGGCTAGTTTTTTGTATTTTTTAGTAGAGACGGGGTTTCGCCGTGTTAGTCAGGATGGTCTCGATCTCCTGACCTCATGATCCACCCATCTCGGCCTCCCAAAGTGCTGGGATTACAGGCTTGAGCCACCGCGCCCAGCGACTGGATTGTTTAATCTAGTCACACTTAATGTTATCACTGGTGTGGTTGGATTTACATCTGTCCAACCATACCAGTGTTTTTCTGTGTTCCATGTTCATGTCTTTTTTCCCCCCATTTCTCCTTTATGTTTCCTTTTAAAAAATAGACTTCATTTCTAGGACTTTTTGGATTTACAGAAAAATTGAGAAGATAGCAGGGGTCCTGTATATCTTGTCCCCAGGTTTCCCTATTATTAACATTTTGCATTGGTATTGACAATTGTTGCAATTAAAGAACCAGTATAGAAACATTCTTATTCACTAAATTCCATAGTTTACTCAGATTTCCTGTTTTTGAAAAGAAATGTGGCAAAATGTATATAACATAAAATTTATGATTTTATCCACTTTTAAGTGTAAAGTTTGGTGACATTAGTACATTCACATTGCTGTGCAGCCGTCACCACTGTTCATCTCCAGAACATTTTCATCTTCCCGTTAAACACTGTACCTATTAAACACTAAGTCCTCATTCTCTCCTCCTTCAGCTCCTGGCAATCACCATTCTCTTTTCCGTCTCTATGAATTTGACTGCTTAGGTACCTCATGTAAGTGGAATCATATAACATTTGTCTTTTTGCATATGGCTTATTTCACTTTGTGTCATGCTGTCAAGGTTCATGTATGTTATTGCGTGTGTCAGAATTCCCTTCCTTTCAAAGACAGAATCATATTCTATTGTATGTATGTACCACATTTTGTTTATCCATTCATCTGTCAATGGACATTTGGGTTGTTTCCACGTTTTGGCTGTTGCGAATAATGCTGCTGTGAATGTGGACATGCAAACATCTGTTTGAGTTCCTCGTTTCAGTTCTTTTGAGTATACACCCCATGTTTCCTTGGTTTTTATTTAATGTATTTTTTGTTCCCAGATCGGATTTATGATATGTTACATTTAGTTTGCATGTCTCCTTAGGCTCCCCTTGGCTGTGACGATTTCTGATTTTTCTCGTTTTTGATAACCTTGATGGTTCAAGATCAAGGAGTACCAGTCAGGTATTTTATAGGATGCTCTTCGATTGGAATTTGGAATTTGCCTAATGTTTTTCTCACATGTAGAGTGGTGTTATAGGGGTTTAAAGGAAAACCATAGATGTCATGGGTCATTTTCATCACATCGTATGAAGGGTAGATAGTATCAACATGATTTGTCACT